GACCTCTCGCTCCTCGGGCCTCCTCCATGGGAATCGTCTGACTGGGTATGTTTCGATAATATTTTGGGAACTGTCATAGTTTCTCGATCAGATCTCGGGGATAACTCGTCCACGGCAGTCATGGTTTCCTGGTTCACCACCTCGGTTTCTGTTACAGGCTCATTTGCGATCGTCATAGTCTCCTGATCAGTAGCCTCCACCTTCGCGGAAAACTCGTCCGTCGAAGTGGATTGATCGGCCTTCTCAGCAACAGGCTGCTCTTCGGCTGAAAAATCGGAGGAAAATCTGAGGATATAGGCCTAAAATATAGGTAACCCTGCCTATAACCTCACCTTTATCTGTATTAACCCCGAAGCTGGTCTTAGGGGTAATTTGTTCATCAGTCTGCATAGTACTGTCAGCGACACTCGGCTCGACAACCACACCCACTTCTGACGTCACGCTGGAGTTGGTCTGACTTTCCTAAACGTGCTATTTTGAGCCTGGAAACCTGACATTTCGGCTACAACCTTCACATACCGTGCTCTCCAAGGTGGCGCTAATCGCGTCCACACCACAGTCTACCGTACTGCACCGGTCTGTGTCTGTACCAATGCTATAACTCTGTGTTGCTTCGCCGATTCGAGGCCTCCATAGTCTCCACTTTGTCCGTCAGTGTGCCAATAGATAGCACCTTCAGGTTTGGCTTCTGCTACAGCCAGCCTGGAATAAGGCAGATTATAATAAAGAAATGATGGGTGGCAGTCAGGAGATCCAAGCTTACGACGAAATGCAGAAAGCAGCTCTGTGCGCGCGACAGTTCCCAGACAGTTGAGTCGCCTTACAGTAGTGGTTTTGCGATAGTTTCATTATGTTCTGGTGCAAATGCCGCGGACGCGCCGTCGTTTTCCTCGCCTGATTATCGCCGCGACCAGTGTCGCCTACTGTCCCGAAGTCGCCGCGACTCGGATTTCCTAACGCACATCCAAAAGTCATCAATGAAAGCTTGTGAGGTTCAGTTGAACAGGGATCTGTCACACACTAGGGACAGGGCTGAGCCGTAGCTTTCATAGAACCGGGAACTGCTGGAATGCAACTGAAAACATCACAAGATTTTTGAGTTATGGGTAGAATTTTTTTACCCTAGACGGACTTTACAAACGAAACTGCGGCCAAAGGAACTGCAAACGTTGCGGGCAGTGAATGCGCCCACTGTCCAAACGAGAAATCCACACAAAGGACATTCTCACTAATATCCCCTTATGAAAGGCGTGCTGGCCGACCACATCAGCATGACAAAAGGAAGTTTCGGCTCAACATTCGAGCGAGTTCTGAACGTGAAAATGGGTTTTCAAGAGTCAGAAATTGGCAATGATTTTGAAGAGCAGGAATAGATTAATAATTTGAGTTTGTGGAGGCAGTTTCGTTTGCCTTGGTTCCCACTTATCACTGGACGATCCATCCTGTATCCTGTAAACCTGTAAGTTGCTGTGAAACTATGCAATAGCAGGAGCTTCGTTTACGCTCGAAAAGATTCGACAGGTTGCAACGTGTAATTTGACAGGATATAGCAAAAGGAACTAATGAAAGTGCAAATGCTCCTCCCAAGCCGAATAGCGCCGGGCTGGTATTCAAAATGACATCATAGCATATCGTCCAATTAGCCAAATAGTCCAAGAAACATCTGAGACTTACCGACAGCGACAGGGGAGGGAGGAGCTCGTCCAGGGCACGTTCCGTCGCTGATGAGAAGTTTTGCAAAGTACGACCCCTTCCCCCAAAATTCCCTGCTTTCGTAGGACCCTTCCTCAGCCCCATCCTCCATATCGTCTCCATGAAGATCCTTAACGAGGTGCCCTCTGCTCTACACACCTTAGAGAGGGTAGAGGAAAGCGAGTGGGGCACTCCTGTTAGAAACCAAATACTAGGCGAATTCTCGAGGCCTTCAATTCTCGGTTTCGTACATTCAAGAAGCCCTAGAAATCTGCAATCGCAGTCCTCTTGTTATGACGTTGTTGGATGTTCAGACTGCCCTCAACCCTTCTAGAGCGAATGGATGGCGTTGTTCGGCTTGGTGGGGTACTAAATGACACTTAGCGAATTTTTACGGGCTACCTTGTGGAGCCAAATTCCAATCCATTTTGTAAATTCTTGTAATAAAGGGACAGCTGTACCATTACGCAAGTTTACAAAAGTTTACAGGTCTAATCTGGGTGAGACCTGTTGGTTAACATGACCTAGCCAAAGGAATGCCCCTCCCAGGTGAAACAACGCCCAAATGGAGCTTTATAGAGAACCGTCAACACCAGTTGCGGAAATCGATAAAAGTGGAATATTGCCTTGAGCCGCTCGTCACTGTGTTGATTGAGGCTTCCACAGGGACATGATTGCGCCAACTTGTGTGAACTTAGTTGTGCAGCTCCGCCCACAAAATCAGCGTAGATTGCAGAATTAACGTACCTTTTCAGGAGTTCTTGCAACTCTTTTCGTAATGGTGTGCACTCGTTGCAAGGCTTTGCTGGAGGTAGTGGACCCGTACAAACACCGACCGTGACCATATCCTTTGGATTTCAACACCTAAAACAAATTTTTTTTTGGAGAAAACTTCGAGCAATGTAGGAAACCCCCATGCTGATTTGAGAGAGAATCTATTCGTATTACTTCGACCAATACGGAGTACAATATCGTTGGGAGAACCCCTCTCGAGGGAGGGGGGGCTACATGTTTGTGGAGAGGCGAGATAGTGATTGAGTAGATCCGGAGCCTTTATCTTGGTCTCTGATGAGATTTTGTTTGCGAAGGCAGGTTAATGAAGATTTTTCCGGGTATGACTTCTTTTCTTTCACCGTCTCGCGCACACCAACAGGGGCAGACATCCTGGCGCCGTTAATAGAGGAATTTTCGTGTGCGACCCCCCCCCGGCTTTGGAAGCTCTTTGATACAAATCGCGCTTCTCTCGCAGTCCGATACTACCTACCCGTCGCTGCCCCGATTTCTGCCTACGTTTTTGTGTCCTTTGAAAAAAAATTTGTCAGTTTTTTCAGGAGAGATCCCAACACCAGTCGCGGAGGAGGAAGGGGAGGTTGGGGGAAATGGGAGAAGGCGACCAGGTGCAACCAGACGGCTTCCCTTCCTCAAGAAGAAGATGCGCCTCCTCTCGTCCGGACGACCGATATATCAGACCCCCATCACCTCGCTAGGATGTCCCCTACGTAAGATGTCTCTACTCCTACGGCATAACCAGTTTGAGCGGCCGCGAAATCACTAACACATAGGGACTAGTTTGACAGCTGGCTTCGAAGGTTTGATTTGTGACGATTCCCATCCCTTTTGACGGCAATTTCTGGGGGGGGAACGTGAAGTTTCCCGAAAAAAAACCCTTTGAGAAGAGTGGTAGGAAGCTTTGAAGAAAACCAAGGAAGAAGGTGAGAAGCGGTCGTTCCGAAGGAGGACATTCGCGGGAGGGTCGTGTCGACCACTTCCATATCACGATGGCTCCGTACTCTGGTCGACCTGTACCCGCCGACTATCCGCTCATTGTCCAGCGGACGTTGGTGAGCATCGATGTTTCCTTGTGTTTTTTGCAAGTATAGTGTTTGCCATTATGAATGTGGTGTAAGTGAAGAGGAGAAGAAGGGGGATATGTATATTCTCTGTCTTGCAAGTTGTGCTGAAAATGGATGAACTCACAAGTATTAACGTTAGGAAAGTAATCAGTCACGGAATCGAGGCTATTAAACATTTGCTACACCAACACCCTAGGCATTTACGGCGATGCGGAATAGTATCGACTGGCCGACTTGAACGTAAATACCGGATCACCGACACAGGGCGTATTACTCTCTCCCCGCGTCGTAAACTGGCGAAGTCGCCCCATGATGGCGCCTGATAACGGACAGTGGAGCGATTAAGAAGAACAGTTAAAAGGTAACAGTGAATAAGCCAAATGATCTGACGGCCGATTTCTTTCATTTGGAACATTTCGATACTCAGCGCACGACCTGGCAGGATCCCTGCCTCGCTGCTGTAAGAGGTAGCTACTCCTCAGCCTCTCCTTGACTATTGACTCTACTCCAGCGGAAGAAGGCTATTAACTCCATAGCAGTGGGAGCAGGGTTCAGGTCGCTGAGGCGTGCAAAGCACCAAGATATTTCAAGAAAGAAATAATTCTGCCAAGGCATGGGATTTCGCTTGGAACTTTTTGTTAGCATGAGGTTACTTTCTGCTCCACTAGGACGCTTTCAAGTTCAGCAAGGGCAGAGGTGATAAAGTGACAAGTGGCAAGTGCTCCTAACAGGGTACGTCCATGATCCAGATTCCAGATCTCAGAATCCCGGTTAATTTTTGCCCTGAATGCATCCGCCCGCTAACGGCTGCTCCTATGCGCTCGTGGAGAGCAGGGAATCGTATTCAAACTTATTGGCGTCCGAGAAAAATGATTTTTGTTGTTGACTTTATGTCGGTTTCCTCTTGTTGCTATTGCTCTGCACTCCGCCTTCCCCCCCCTCCTCCCTCCGCTCAACGGCTACTTTTTCCGGGCGAAAACTAGAGAGAGAAGAAGGACATCGAAAAATAGCAGGCAATCAGGAAAGTCAGAAGGATGTAAGGTAGAATGGAGGACGGGAGGGGGAGATTTGAGGCGGCTGTATTTTACAAAAGTTTCCCCAACAGCAGGACGTATCCTGGAGGTCAAGGAGACGAGTCATCCTGGGACCTTGAACTCAGCCAGTGATGCGTGAGTGCGCGCAAGGCATTGGAGAGAATAGGGTCGGCAAAGGGGTGGGGGAGCAGTCAAGGAGGTCCTCTACAGAGGCACAGGAGAGAGCTGCGATGTGGAAGTCACACACTAGAGTTCTCGGACGATGTATGGTAGAAAGGAAAACAGTAAGAAAAAGAACAATGATGAAGAGATGACAAGGAAAAAAAGGAGGGAGAAGAAGAGGATCCTCAAGATGGCGAGCAAGGCTGCGGCGTCTATTGAATGTCTACGATAGCCTGAATGTAATGACGCACAATAAAGCGCTGGGTAGATGGGCTGTTCCGCATGCCTTCATCGAAACGTCCGTATAGAGGGCAAGCATATTCATGTCCATAAAGACGTCCGAGAAGAGTTAAACGACTGACAAAAAAGTCGGCACCAACCTCCTCTGGAAACTGTGGAGATCATCTTTGCGCAAATCCCAGGAGGGGAGGGGCTGGGAGAGGTGTCTTCAGTCTGCCGGGGAAGTGGGTCGTACTTGGCCCTTTGTATGGCCTTGGTTTCTTTTTTGCCGGTGCTGATTTTTCTCGTTTTATGCGCACTGTTCCCCTCCCTCGCCTCTGTGGCAGCTAAGCAAAACTGCTATTTCTGATGGTCAATTAGGGGCGTCTTCCCATCCCCCCCCCCACCTAGGCTGGTAAGTCGATCAACTGCGTTAATGCGGAATGCAGACATCCTCCAGTGAGGCGAAAACAACCTCTTTTTGAAGAGCGACTTCAATACAACCCCCTTGTCAGTTTCTTCAAGAATCCTGAGACCTGAACTGGGATCAGAAATCGTTCCATTTCTGCAGTCATGTCCAGTCAATGGGACGAAAGTACGCTCATAAGGATCGGGCGATGTTCTTAGCGGGGCGCCCTCTTGAAAGTCGGGAGGGTCGTAAAGAGAGGAATGTTCGAGGGTATGGGAAGCAAAGCTGACGCGTATTACAAGAACTAGCGAATAGCGCGGACGGCGGACACCTGGCAAGAATATCGAGAGATGTAAAGGGCCGCCTTATTGAAGTCTCTCAATATTCCCCCTCCCCCTCCCTTTTTTTAGAAGCCCTTTTTGTAGCACAATCTCGGAACCCATGGAAATTTTTGCATACTTTACCTCCTACTGACTATTAGGGTCTACTCAGATATGAGGAAAATTGGTTGTCCAGCATCTCCCTTCATGCCTCAGTTATGACCCCTCTCAACCCCATGGTCAAGTGAACTTCGTTTACCCCTTTATAGGCCCACCTACCTTATCATTTTCTGCCCTCGAGTTCCCAGGTAACCCGAAAACGCGACCCGGGAAGAGGTGAACAGAAGTACCACAGAAAGAGTGATTTGAATCCTCATTTCTTCTCAATATCTCATAGCTACTCCCACTACTCCCCATCAATGAGCAGAATACGACCTCCATCCTCAGAATATCCCTCACTACCTTCTTGAGGACTTCCCGAAGACGATGTGAAGTCTCCAGGAGATATCCAAGCACCGTTAATGCCTCACTACCCCAGTTTGAAGAAAAGTGGAAGACTATGAGAGTAGTTATCACAAGAATGCTGAGTTGTGGGCAAAAGTCGGACCACGGACGGGATTCGAACCCGCATCTTCTGCTTACCGGGCAGTTGCGTTCCCTATTACGCTACCGGGGCCACTTTTGACCTCTCAGCTCAATGGCTATTTGTGCCATTGCCTTCGAGCACTCACACGTTCAACGTGATGAGCCGGTTAGCCGATATCGGCAGTGAACCGCAAGGCTGAAGGCTTTTAGCGAGTTAGCGTAATAGTGAACGCAACTGCCCGGTAAGCAGAAGATGCGGGTTCGAATCCCGTCCGTGGTCCGACTTTTGCCCACAACTCAGCATTCTTGTGATAACTATTGATTAGAAAGTTGGCACG